GATTGTTTGAGCGGTAGATACAGTTATTGTTCTGCTGACACTCCCAGCATACATCCGACATTGGCTTGCATATTACAGCATGTGGCATGAGTTGTCTCCAAATCTTTCTGAAGGTGCTTAGTCCTATAGCACGAGTACCTACAATAGAAATGCAATCATAAACAATTTTTTTTAAATATTTTGATTTTTCTCAATTCACAGTACTTACCTACTTCAGAATTTTTTTTTTATATAGGCCTAACACCACTCACTATAACAAGGCTGTCAGACCTTAGTTTTGTATGGCTCCCACGAGTATAATTCACCCCCAACATGAGTTTAAAGGTCACTGGACGGGTGTTGATGCAGTGTTTTCATTTTGTATACAAGTAGGAGGCACAGTTGTGAAAAGTAGCAGTCAAAAAAAATTGAGACATGTCATAGGTTTTGAATGAAAAATGTAGCCGGCGCCGAACAGGGGAGTAGACGGCGATTGCGCCTGCCGCCTCCTACTTTTGAGAACCCTGGATGTACGCAAATCCGACGTGTACACTTGTATTTTTATTTTAGAAGTAAAGTGTCTATGTCTTACCAGTTGCAGTCATAGCTTGCTTGTACAAACGCCATATCGGCGCCTTTGTATCTGTGGATGGAAGAAACTATGTCTGCTCGCTTAAACCCAGACCTGTATTCTACCTGGAAGTATCAGGGCATTTTCTTCAGCATAATTCAGTGTAAACTGCACAACACGCTGTATGTCCTCAAACGTAAGGTTACGCTTATTCTTCAATCGTCCTCCGGAACGTTTCGAACGGGGAACAAGTTCGTTTTCGAGATACCATTTCAACAGCCCAGTCAGTTTGTCTTGACTAATGCTACAAAGAAAGTAAGGTAGAAATAAAATAGGTAATTTATAATAAGCATCTTTTTCAACAGATTTAATATTTTTAGGAAATTTTTATAATACCGGTATTGACAATTTGTGTAGTACAACCAGAATAGAAGCACAATCAAATACACCCAATGCCAACAATAGAGGGATAAAAATTAAAATGCGAATTTTGAATTTTGGTATCCCAGTAGGCCTATAGGATTTGAAAATGCTATTGTATTGAAATAGTGTATTCTAGTAGCAGGGGTGCAAATTGGCAGTATCCTGATATCCTGTAGATACCAGAAAAAAATGAGGATACTAGATAGCAAAACCTTGGTAACGCAGCTGGATTCCAAAAAAGTGAAATTTGGTTACGTCGGTATCCTGCTTTGAAGACGAAAAAATTGCACTGAATTGTTATTTCCTCTCACCACCAACGTGTACTTACGCATGAAGAAACTTGAATGTGGCTCTGCATACACGTTTTCCATCAGCATAGTAGCTGGTCTTTTGGTTTGATCTTTTGGTTTGGTTTGGTCGTCTCGAGCAACTAGTCAATTCACTGTTGTTGACACCACATCTGAGCATTCCAAGCAATACGAGATCCTTCTCCACTGTAAAAAATGTTTACATTACTTCTCTATGAACTGAACTCAATAAAACCTGGTCAGCAGAACTTTGTTTTCCTTGTAGGCAGACTACCACAAAAATATAATTAATTGCCATTAGGCATTAGTCCTATAGTCAATAGTTTTCAGGAATAGGCCCTAGAAATCTATTTTATTTTATGTGCTTGAAAATAATAGGGGTGGGCTGCGACACAACATTATTTATTGGTCTATGGTAGGGTAAAAAAGATGTCCGTCCAGAATTCTCACATGCCTTGCCTGATATCCCTACGTATGTGTCGCAGAAATTATACATACCATTACCCATTTCAGCCATTGTAGAACGGTAATCAACGATGAATTCTGTGTTGAATTGAGACCGGCATGGTTCACCATTATAGAGCTTACAACCACAGTTGAATGCTGCAACGAGCTCTGTTTCATCATCCTGCTTTTCACAAACATAAGCAGTTCTGATGTCCGCCTGTTCAAGAATTGTAGCAGCTTCAGTAGTGCACACCAAGGAGTTTTCATCGTCGCTATTGTGACCGTCGTCATTTTTGTCACCCGTCTCATTTACATCTGAAACGATAAGTTCCAATGTGAATTAATTCTTTGTATGTTATGAAGAGTATATAATAAACATGTTTATTATCTACTCTTGATGTTATGAAGCTAATCTGGAAAATTAGAAATTTAACATGTTAACTGGCTAATCCGGGATTATAAAATTGTACACAGATTAGTACACATGGAACGCATGTGCTACGATACGCCGTACTCCACCAGACCTTAGACTAGAAAGAGCAAGACCTTTAGACCTACCAAACATCTCGACGATATTGTCTCCATCATTATCATCATCATCATCATCATCATCATCATCATCTGATGATACGAGGTTGTCTTTAAAAATTTCAGACTCGTCGTCGACATCGGGAGATTATCTTTAATTAACGTATCCCAAACGTCAGCGGCAGCGGCACCATTAAAATTATAGTCGGCTGGTTCAACGCAGTTGCAACCTCAGACTCCTTTGACGGCTTCGTCAATATACTGGGCATAATGTTTATTGTTATCTGCGTTCAATTCCTTTGTGTTTGTACGTAAAATCACATAAATACCATGAAGTTTTGCTTTTTTTCGGAAGAATTTTTCAGACCTGGAAATAAACAACGCGGAGAAAGCGATTGTGCGCATGAGCACGACTCGATTGTCCAATGAGAGCGCTTGTACTACGGCATGCATGGCAACAAAAGATTCTTTGTTTGCGATGTTAAAACCTATTTCATTGGTTTATGATGGAAAACACGCCACCAATAGATTAATTCGCTGGAAAGTTGACGTCATTAGCTTTCCAACGATACCCGGTATGTAAAGATATCCTAGCGAATTACGGAGAGATGAATTTCTAAAAATGTGGTATTTTCGCCTTTTGTTTCGAGTAAATCAGGCATTTCTGACACCGACATTGCTTACAAAGTCATATAATTCATCGATTAGATGATTGAATAACACTAATCTCACAGATTCAGCATAAAATAAACATATTTTTTTGGATAGAAATGTAAAAATCTCAAAAATTTTAAAATGCATGTTGCAACAGAAAATACGCTCTAGCACAATATTATAAAACGCGACATGTGACTGGTTTTGATAGAGCCGGTCACATATACAGTTTACATTGCTTCTAGATATCTAACTGAATAAAAATAGTCCACTTTCCACATTCCACTTTCCAATAGTCCACATGAAAAGTGACGAATTCAGTTAACAGCTTTGATTACGTGCGTGTCAGATGTCACTGGTCGTGCCCTCACTCCTCACGCTAACACCTGCGATATAAAAACGCGGATTGTTATGCGGGCTGCACTTCATGCCGGCCGCAATCGATTTCTTAGACCGCCACGAGTTTTTGTTCGTGTGGCGAATCATGCGTTGAGGGAGTTCATGCAGCTCTAGAAGGTTTGGATACCACGTCTACGTTGAGGAACGGGTCGTATTATGCGCTCCCGTTTACAAGTCTGTATTTTTTTTGCTGCTGTGCGGCGATTATCTAGTCGCCCCGCCGGACCAGCTGCCACAAGCAAGCAGTCGCCCGGTAGATTTTCTAATCGTCACTGGCGACTGGGCGACCGCTAGTTTCTCACTCTGAGTTTGTCGATAATGCCTATGGCACGGCATCCCGCAATGTACACTGGGGAACTTACATACGCCTCTACAGCCAACACCAGCTTGTTTTTTTGATCCGGAGTAAAGTATTCTCTCAAGAAACTTGCGATTTGATGATGATGATAGTAAACAGCTGCACCTAGACTGAATACTATATTTATCCTGTGGCCGTGAAAAGTGTGCAGTTTGGACACAACAGGCTCATCCAAGCTTTTGAGATAGGTGTTGAAGAGCAGGCCATAGCCAGATTTTTCATCTGCACCAGGAACACAAAGTTTTGTTGCGGCTCGGATAAACAGAGCAGTACTCTTATTGGTTTCAATTTGTGAATCTGGTCCGTCTATTGCCACTTGCTCCCACACTTTTAATGCAGACTCTGCCTGTGAGCCCAAGTTAACCAAAACATGCAGATTGCACTTGAAGTAATTGAGTTGGACCACTTTTTTTGACATCATTGGGCAAAGTTTCAAAATTGTCAATTACCATAGGTAGACACTCATCTCGCCAAACCTCTAGTTTTGACTTCAGAGAAGTGTTCACAACATGTCGATCTGTCATCATGTTTTTAATTGTTTTGAGCAGTTCGGCAGTTTTCTGATCAGTGTCCTTCACCTTGACTAGATCAGCCATATCATTGAGTTGTGTTTGTATCATTTTGAAAAAACACTCGGAAAAAAGCAACTATCTCGTCCTCATGGAACCCAACATCGTGATTTTCGATCTCTCCCGACGACTCATCAACGAGACATTCATCATTGTTTTCGAGATTGTCCGACGACTCGTCGGCGACATATTCAATGAGTTGAGGAGCAGCGACTATCTTGTCCTCACGGAACCCAACATCGTGATTTTCGATCTCTCCCGACGACTCATCAACGAGACATTCATCACTGTTTTCGAGATTGTCGACGACTCGTCGGCGACATATTCAATGAGTTGATGATCAGCGACTATCTCGTCCTCACGGAATGCAACATCGTGATTGGTGAACGTGACAACGGACTGGGTTATGCAAAACAACGTAAGGTACACGCTAGTATAATATCATCACCAGCTGTAACGATGGAGAGGAAGAAGCGACGAAGCAAGGAAGAACGGATCAAGAACGCAACTTACAAGGAACAAGAGCTGAACGAGACGAAGATACGTAAACGATGAGTGAAACAAACAGTGTCGGCATATATATAATCGTAAGTAAAGTTAAAAACGATAGTTTAAAACCACAGCGTGTAATATACAAGGTGAGAGTGAAATACTGTATAATACATGCACCATGTTTCTTATCCCTTATCCAAAAGGTGCATGTTATGTTATTGAGATGCTTATAAGTTATAGCTAGGCTACTTGCAGAGCGAAACAATATTTATATTAATAAAGGCCGATACAGTTGTTTCACAAGCTTACAGGATAGTATGTGTGTATGTATGGTTAGTAGGTATGGTGTCGATGTAGCAGGTATAGTTAGTCATGTGTCGCTGAATGACACAACGTACGTACGGCTGAATCTCACGGTCAGCTAACTCGATCAGCGTTATGCGGGTTGAAGCGGAATTGTCGTAGATTTGAGAGATTTGAGAGATTTAAGAGCTAGATGTCGGGCCATAGGCGGGTATACGTCAGCAGGAGCCTGTCACGCGCGACAGGGCGCGCGCAGTTTTAATCAACGTATAATCGGTGTGTAAGTTTGTGTTCCACACATGATCGGTCCTAGGACTCACGTCGGGGTACAAGAGTCGACGTTATTGAACGGCATTTCTGTACGCAAAACCGTTACGTTTAGCTAACGATGTCGGTATAGTAGGAAACATCATATTGTAACATTACAAATTTCTTACACAGGTCGTTACACAAATCCACGCGATGCTGGCGTGGGAGTCTTTCACACTTACCGGGAAATGAGGAAGAGTTAGTGAGACTACGAATGCGTCTGGAGAGAGCAAGGGAGCTCCACGGTTAAACGCACAGCGATCAACGCGTCAGCGCTGATTGTGCCATTGTTCGCATGAGTGCACATGTGTAATGTTGGTTTTAACGTTACTGTGTTGAGCTAATGAAGTGGAATGTATGTGACGCCGAAATACATAGATAAGAATAGAAGTCAGATGTTTACCATGACTAGAGGTACGTTCTTTTATTGCTTAGAAGTTTACAGTGCCGTGGTCGTGCCTGTTTATCACCCGGTTGCTGACGGAGCTCTCCCAGATCACGCTCGCGCTCCGGCCTTTATACTCCACAGGCACTCCCGCGGCGCATGCGTTATTCATACTCACGAAGGCGTTAATCACGCCTCGCGCATGGGCCGTAGACATTCGTGCGGGCGTCATACACGCCCCATGCACGTGCAGGGTTCAGAACCCCGGAGAACTTCTCCCTACGTTGCGCAAACGGGGCGCGCGCGCCCCGTTTGGGAAAACTCCCCCCTGTTTGAATCGTTGCGCCCCGTTTGGGAAAACTCCCCCCTGTTTGAATCGTTGCGCCCCGTTTGGGAAAACTCCCCCCTGTTTGAATCGTTGCGCCCCGTTTAAAACTCCGCCCACAATATACCACCACA